CAATATATATGTACATATATATATTGATATATATGCTACATATATACTTTTCACTTGCATATGTAATTGTTTATTTTTATGGTTGTGAATATATGTATATTAATATATATATATATATATATGTATAGGTATATGTATATGTATATATAGTGGACGACATTTTGCATAGGTACCTTATGGCACACTTCTTCAACTGTGGCTTCTCATCAAAGTATACTACGCATTTAACACTTACTCATAGCTACACAATATCTTACACACACCAACTCTACAGTCAGTCTCGAGGAGAGCCGCGGTGTTGTTCACCTTTCAACAGCGCTTCTACACAGCGAAACATGATGAGCACGACCACTTCTTGGCCGATTTGGCGAAGGAAAGCAAATTCGGGATCATTGAATTGCAGGTAGGGAAGCAAGGGTGAGATAGATTGATTATATTATTGGTATTTGAAATAGCGAAAATTATGTTTGTCTGCGTCTATGTCATATTCAAACTTTACTTGGAGCGTTATGTTGTATTGTGGCCATAGGAACAATATGCACCCTATGGCTGTTATGGCTTGTGCCATTACTGTCACTTGTTTTGTTTGTATGGGTTTCCTGGGGTGTGTGAAGCACAGTAGATGCTTCGACTGTTGCTATAACAACCCACTTCGTGGAAGTACTTCACTTGTTGCACATTGGTATACCACGTGGGCGGTGGCGCTGAGTCTCTTGGTATTCGCGTGCCGAAGGTTTCCTTTGTACTAGCCCTTGATACATAAGCCATATATGTGGTGGTGCAAAGTAGACCGCGGTTGTGCTAGTACTGTCTTCTCAGTATACAGCTCTACGGGTTTTTAAAGTCTCGCTGCTCGATGCTCACATATATATTGAGGTGGATTAAAGGTCCGTTTATAGTACTATGAGGTTTTAGTATGCAGAACTGTATCATATGTAGACCCGGGACGTAGTGCTGTTAAATGTACGGTCCTAAGTCCCGGTCAAGTCGACCGTAGGTACAAGGATTGATCAGAAATATTATATAACAAACGTGGGTACGCTCGCTTGTATCTTCTCTGCGCCCAGCCAAGCGTGCCTCTCATAGAAGCATTCTGGTTGCAAAGTGACGATATACAGACCACCTTCTCGCGAATATAAGAAGCGTTTGGAAGCTGTTGGTGACGTGCTGAGCCGTTCACGGACATGCAACTGTCGCCACATGTGCACCAATTGACACGCGTCATACTTCAGTTTATATGTGTACTTATATACCTAAGCATATGATACCAAGATGCAAAACAAGCGCACGCCTTCTGAATCTTCGTCTCCACTCGCCATCAATCCCGATATTCCGAGGGGGTGGGGGGTTTTTTTTAGCCATTTTTGTGCGTCGTGTATGTTTCTGGTATTAATTTTGTCTGTCTGTCCCGTTTTCCTCAGGCTTTGAGAGCCAAATTCTTGCGCCGAGGTAACTTCGAGTCCCAGGACTCGATTCTGCTCACAGAGCCCATGTTTGCGCGGGCAATGACGGCTATCGGTGTAACAGACGCGCATCGAGTGAAGCACTACTTCAAACTGTTCGATAGAGATGGCAACGGAGAGATCGGTATGTGAAGCCAAAAAAAAGCCAATTAGTATATTCTTAAAGTCTTGAAGCTTCTTTCCAAATACTCTGTTGAGTCTTCAACGAATGCCTTGGGTTGGTATTGTTTTGAGCTGTTTGGATAAAGACGGCAACTGGGAGGCCTCTGTATGTGGAGTATGTGTTGTTTGGTATTGTCTTGGAGACTCTTTATAAAACTATCTGTTGACACCGTAGATCGATCTGCCAATTCTATCCAGTGGTGTCTATAAGTGCCGTGAGTACGGATTGCCTTAAAATTATTCCTTTGAGATGGCACCAGAGAAATGGGTGTATGTGAGAGTGTGATGGGTGTTCATTTCTGCTCCATCCGTGTGCTGACAAACGCTTACGCTCGACCTTACCTCAGACTGTTACCAAAAAAACGGCGAAGTATGATTATTTTGTGTATACTTGTGGGCATTTGCGTGTCCCTCTGTGATCAGGATTGTTGCAGGTGTCGGCTAATTGTCCCTATGTGTTCGCTGTGTAACAGAGTGCATACTTCGTGATGAGACAGTGAAGAGTTCACCCTGCATCTCCGTATGCTCATTGTTAGCACGCTAAAAGCGTGTATCCCGATGTTCGGGAAGATACCTTCCAGCTTCCCATGCATTGTGAATTATAAATACATCCCAGACTCTTATTGTTGCCCCCCCCCCTAACCTATCCCTCACACTTCAAATCTGCCATAGATTTTAGGGAACTTGTTTCGGGACTGAATGTTCTGCTCAGAGGAAAAACTGCCGAATTTGCCGAGTCCGAGTTCTCTCTTTGGGACTTAGATGGCAATGGGGTATGTAATTAACTTGGTTTAGTTGTATGTAATTAACTTGGTTTGGTTGTATGTAATTTACTTGGTTTGGTTGTATGTGGTTAACGGTTTGGTTGTCTATAATTAACTTGCTTTGGTTGTATGTAATTAACTTGCTTTGG